AGATTTCGAAGAAGAAGAATTAGTGAAAAACTGAAAAGGCAAAGGTTTCTCTTACGAACAAACTGAAGAGTGAGTTTACATAGGACTGACACCTAAAGATCTTGATTTTGTAGTTTACTTAGAGGAGAAAGGAAAAGTCCCTGAATGGTGTTTGAATTACGAGGATATGAGTAAATTAAGAGAAGAATATATTAATGGAGAGAAAATAAGAGAAAATGTTGAAGAAGACAAAAGTAGTGTTAGTGCATCTAATACAAGCAAGATTGAACTAAAAAAACAAACAAAATTTCCAGCAACTCATCCTATCACCGAACAAACTAATCTTCAACCTCCACAACCAGTTTTATTAAAGCCAGATAAGAATTCTTCTCAACCGCTAACAGCAGAGCAAAATCAAGTTTCTGATGTTCAGTCCGAACAAGTAGCAGAACCAGAATCAGTTGCACAGATAGAAACAAATAATAACTGCTTATGACCCTTTGCTCCTTGTTTCGGAAAAAGGTAAAAATAAGTTGCGGTTAATTTGGGTAACTGCAACAAAAATCAAAAACGAGGATTAAACTTTTAGTTAGTAAATAAGCAATAGATAACAAATATAAGAAATTGATCTTTTTTTAAATTAACTAGGAAATATAATTGTCTAGAGTAACCCTTCTGCTCTTTAAAAAAGTATTTTCCTTTTTTCATAAAATGACAAAATGCTAAAATGTTTTATATGGTATGGAGTGTTTCTGTAAATCAGAGAGGGAAAGAGAGAAAAAGAGTTTTAAACTTTAGTTCTCGGATATTTGGAATTGATTACTTTTACCTACTTCCTGAAGATTCAGCAAGGGTAAATGAACACTAACGAAAGTAAATAAAAATATGAAAAGCCTAAAAGAAAAAATACTTAAATATGCTAATTGGCTCTGTCTAGGGAGTAGGACGAAAGATGATAAAGGTAAAAACCGGGAAGAAGATGGGGAACTGCCAAATAACCAAACAATAAATCCCTCGATTCCCCCACAAGAAAACGACCGAAAAACAGGCAAAAAAACAATCAATTATTGTGCAAATGACCCTAATTTTAACATGGATTTATGCCCTTGTTGTCAGATGAATCCAAAGAATGACACAAACAACGATGATTTAACACTACCGCTAAGATTATATTGTGCTTACTCAAATACAATATGCGAAATTAGTCAATTGTGTGAGGTGTGCAAAGAAAGTGTTAACGAGTTAGGCTATACAACTGTATCACATGTTTGAGGTGAATATGATTTATCCAACCCCGACTCTGAACAACAAGTTATAGAACTTAAAAACTGTAAGATAATTGTTGCTTCAGAAAGAATTCGTAAAAATGCACAACGTGCTACCGATGCAGGACTTAATCATTCTGCGTTATTTATTTGAATGGACGTATTATGTATAGATCAAAATTCTGTAAAAGAAATGCACCGAGAGGTGCCAATGATGGCAACTTATTACAAGAATGCTAAAGATTGTTTAGTAATGTTAGAAGAAGACACTGATGTCACGTCTATTATAGAGAAAATTGATTTAATATGTGATGATATCAATAAGGATAAAAAACCCGCTAGAGAAAAAGTCGAGGAACTATCGTTAAATACTGCAGAATTACTAAATAACTCTAAGTTTGCTTGGGATCCCTGGTTTGAGAGGATATGAACCTATCAAGAAGCAATATTTTCCAAAAAACTTATGTATTATGATGGAGAGAAAAATCACAACTTAAACTCTGTCTTTAATCTTTTGCAAGTAATGTCAACAGGCGACAAAAGTGCCGGCTCATTCTTTTTTATGCTGGAAAAATTTCTGGAAAAGTTCAAAAATCGACTTTTTATAGATATTGTCCTCAAGGATCATGACAATAGTCTTGAGGAGAACATAACACTAAAGCAAGCATACAGTATTGCTCAAATAAGAAAAACTTATGATAAAAGAGACATAATATTCGGCACATTGAGCATGACTAAACTTTCAGTACCAGTAGAATGTTTTTCAATGGAATACCCAAATCTAATTAGAACTGCTTGTAAGTTGTCGCTAGGTCGAGGCGATGTTAGTTGGTTGCCATTATATGGCGGACCGGTCGCTAATGCTGCTAATTACTGTTGTATAGTGGATCCACTAAATGCTAGATCATGCTTGGCTGATATTAAACTTGATTTAAATTATACGAAAGTTGTTGAGGTGCGTGAATCAGGCGTGAAGCTAGTGGTAAAAAAGTATGCCCCAGTAGCTGCTTCCCCCTGAATGAAAATTGACAAAAAGGGTGAACTAAAGGAAAAAGACAATGTCAATTTGCTACGCTCTGTTTATAAAACTTTTGAGGAAAGCGGAAGTAAGAATCCAGGGTTAATGACAGCCCGCACTCTGCTTGCGATGCATAATAATGTACCGGAAAGTGTGGTGGAAGTAATCGATGAAATGGTCAAACCCAACGATAAAAGAAAAACATTAATTAATACCAACGCCAAGAACTATCATGAAGCGTACGGACTTTTGTCATTTTCAGTAAATGTAATCTGTGGTTTCAATAATCTTCCTGGGGAAACTAAATACATAATTTTAATTTCGGTGCCAATAGGAGAAGAAATACACACATTGTTGTTTATCAGTGATACGGACGCTTTGGTTAGTGATAACATAATAGTTTTGGAGTCGTTGATAGTTGATACTTATGGTAGAAGAATGTGGATGTTATGTACATCTGATGATTCAAGTACTCGTAAAGTAGCAGTGGGACGTTGAGAACCATCAGAGTGACACTGATCAGGAAATAACGTTGGATGGGTTCTTATTGGTAACAGAGAACTAGAAGTAAGTTCAGACAATAGTGATAATAGAGAGGTAAGAGAAAATAGTGAAGAGATGCAGATCAATCAACAAGCCCAAATCCAAATCCCCCCCCAAAAATAATTATGCCAAAAAACTGAAAAAATATCCACCCCGAATTCGGTAAATATAGATTACGAGGAGAATATCTCCAATATCACTGAAAAAACAATGGTTTTGACTACAATCAAACAAATGCCTGAATTGCTGCTGATCTAAGGCCTTGAGAATACAATATTGCTTGATATCTTGCTAAAAAAGAAAAGCAAACTCCGGAAAATTTAAATCGGGATAATATTGCCTCAGTAAAAAAAGAGGCAGAAGAAAAATTAAAAAATGAATGAAAAGATTTCTCGACTGATGAAGCAATAGAATGATTAAAAAGAAATTTCTCTTATAAAGAAGTCAAACAATGAATAGGTAAGGGTCTAAAAACAAATGAATATGAATTTGCTGATTATTTAAGGAAAAATTCTGTCCCTTATACAAAAGAACTAAGAAATAAATACCACCAGGCTCAAAATTGATTAGATTTTAACTATCCCCGAACAGGAAGAAATGAGGTTAAAGAGTTAGTAATCAATAATCACAATTTAGAAGGAACTTTAAAGTTAGAAAATTTTCCTAATTTAGAAGAATTGCACTGCCCTGATAATAAATTAATCAGTCTGGAATTTCATAACTGTCCACAATTAAAAACTATATTATGCTCAAACAATAATCTAACTAATCTAATCTTAACCAATTGCCCTAATATTACTAAACTAGTCGGCAATAAAAACCAACTCACCAACCTCATTTTTTTATCAGACTTAGCTCCTGAAAGGCTAGAGATGCTTAACATCAGCAGCAATAACGTTGCTGAAAGTAATTTAACTCCTTTTAGCAAATTTACTAATTTAAAACATTTAGGTTTAGGTAACTGATATAAAGAAATAATCGAGAAAGAAATTTACAACCAGTTTACCGGTTCCCTAGAGCCTCTAAAAAACCTAACTAAATTAGAAGAATTAGATTTAGCAGGTACAGATGTAGACAGCGGTTGGGAATACTTGCCAGAAAGCCTGCAAATATTTTACCTTTTTGCTAAAGAAAAACCTGAGAGCAAGTCCAGTCTGATTGGTGAAGAGTTAAAAAAATATGGCGAACCAGGCAAAGATAAAGATGAGGATGATGATTTTGCTCTTTTGTTAAGAAAATTTAAGCAAGTTCAAACATTACAAAAATTTGAGGAACAAGAAACCGAAATTAAATATTTAGAATTAAGAATTCAGGAGTTAACTAATTTAATCAAAAACCAAAAACAAAAAATAATTAATGATTTCTTAAACGTCCTTCCCGAAAAGGGCTTAATTCAGCAATTAATTACTACTTATTTAGAATTAAAAAAGACTGAAAAGCAAAAACTTCCTTCTCGAAAACTCGAAAAAGAGTGTAATAAATTTAAAGACGAGTTGGAGGACAGATTAGGAGAAGAATTTGTCGAGAAAATGCAGTTTATTTTAAGTGATTGTGAAGAATTAGTATCCTGAGAACTTGAACTCGAAGAAAGATTGAGAGGCAAAGTCCTCTTAATTGAAGAACAAAGAAAATGCCTGCAAATAACCGGCAGTAGCGAAAAAAAAGAAAATCTTGCTTGAAAGGAAAAAACTCAGCAAAACCAAATTGCTGAATTTGAAAAGTTAAAACAAGAAAATTTATCACTGCAGTTAGAAGAATTAGTCAGAAACCAAGGTCGATTAATTGCCGAACAAGTTATTAATAAAATAGAAGAAATAAATGAAGACAATGAAAAAATGTTCTCTTCTACCGAAGAACCCATTTTTGATGAAAAGGATAAAATAGGCGAAGGAGGCCATGGTGTAGTTTATCGGGGTAAGCATAAAAAACGAGATGCGGCAGTTAAAAAATTAATTTTAACTAACGATGCCAAAAGACAAGAAATAAGGAATGAAATCAATATCCTTAAAAAATTAAGAGATAGGAACATAATTCAATACTATGGAGTTTATTATAGGGATAAGCAAATTTTAATTATTATGGATTATGCGGAAGGCGGTTCTTTAAAGAAGCTTATTGACGATAATAAGAACAGAGGACATGATTGAAATTTTAATACTAAGATTATCAAACAAGTAACTTCGGGGTTGGCTTATATCCATCACGAGAATATCTTGCATTGTGACTTGAAAAGTTTAAATGTTTTAATGACTACGGGTAACCAAGCCAAAATATCTGATTTCGGATTATCTAGAATTAAGAATATTAGTCCTTTACAAATTGAGGGGGTAAAAGGTAGTTTAAGATGAATGGCTCCAGAGGTACTTGAAGACAAAGAATTCTCAAAACAGTCCGACATCTATTCTTTAGGAATGGTTATTTGGGAAATTGCTGCTAAGTGTACTACTCCTTTTGCAAAGATTAACGGTTGGGATTTAGTATTACACATT